TCTTCTCTCAGACACAGCAGCTCCACTCTGTCCTGATGTTTCCTGGTTCCCTCCCCTTCAGATCTACAGGTTGAAGATGGGTGTAACCAACATGTGGTTATGTGTGAGAGCTGACAAGCCCCGTTCACTGCACAAACACCTGTTGTGTAGATCAGCGCTCAAACTGGTTTCACTTGTCAGGAAGTGAAACTCAGACAGTCGTTGTCACTGAGAGGTGAAATGGCGCAGAAAGGAGTTCAACTGGACCGGGAAGCTAATTCTTGTTCCATCTGTCTGGATCTACTGAAGGATCCGGTGACTATTCCCTGTGAACACAGCTTCTGCATGAACTGTATTAAAACCTTCTGGGATGAGGAAGACCAGAGACATGTCCACAGCTGCCCTCAGTGCAGACAGACGTTCATACCGAGACCTGACCTGGTGAAAAACATCATGTTAGCAGCTTTAGTGGAGGAGCTGAAGGAGACTGGACTCCAAGCTGCTGCTGCTGATCACTGCTATGCTGGAGCTGAAGATGTGGCCTGTGATTTCTGCACTGGGAGGAAACTGAAAGCCCTCAAGACCTGTTTAGATTGTCCAGCCTCTCACTGTGAGAAACCCCTGCAGCCTCACTCTGATGAACCTCCGTTACAGAAAAAGTCGAGCCTCTTACTGTGAGAAACACCTGCAGCCTCACTATGAATCGGCTACGTTTGAGCAACACAAGCTGGCGGAGGCCTCCAAGAAGCTCCAGGACAACATCTGCTCTGGTCACAGTAAAGTGAGGGAGGTGTTCTGCCGCACTGATCAGCAGTGTATCTGTTATCTCTGCGCCATGGATGAACATAAAGGCCACGACACAGTCTCAGCTGCAGCAGAAAGGACTGAGAGGCAGAGAGAGCTCGAGGGGGGTCGACAACAAATCCAGCAGAGAATCCAGGACAGAGAGAAAGATGTGAAGGTGCTTCAGCAGGAGGTGGAGGCCATCAGTCGCTCTGCTGATAAAGCAGTGGAGCACAGTGAGAAGATCTTCACTGAGCTGATCCGTCTCCTGGAGAAAAGCCGCTCTGATGTGAAGCAGCAGATCAGATCCCAGCAGGAAACTGAAGTGAGTCGAGTCAAAGAGCTTCAGCAGAAGCTGGAGCAGGAGATCACTGAGCTGAAGAGGAAAGACGCTGGTCTGGAGCAGCTCTCACACACAGAGGATCCCACCCAGTTTCTACTCAACTACCCCTCAGTGTCAGCACTCAGTCAGTCTACACACTCATCCAGCATCAACATCCGTCCTCTGAGATACTTTGAGGATGTGACAGCAGCTGTGTCAGAGGTCAGAGAGAAACTTAAGGAGGCTCTGAGTGAGACATGGACAAATGTCTTAATGAAACTGGCTGAAGTGGATGTTTTACTGTCACCAGCAGAGCCCAAGACCAGAGATGGATTTTTAAAATATTCACATGAAATCACACTGGATCCAAACACAGCAAACACATATCTGTTATTATCTGAGGGAAACAGAAAAGCAACATTAATGAGTAAACAACAGTCTTATCCTAGTCACCCAGACAGATTCACTGGATGGTGTCAGGTCCTGAGTAGAGAAACTCTGACTGGACGTTGTTACTGGGAGGTGGAGTGGACAGGGAGAAGAGTTGGAGTAGCAGTTGCATACAAGGATATCAGCAGAACAGGGGGCTCGAAGGAATGTGGATTTGGATGTAAGGACGGGCATTAAATTGTTATCAAAACTGTTATTATTTTTGGTACAACAGCATCCAAACTCCCATCTCAGGTCCTCAGTCCTCCAGACTTGGAGTGTACCTGGATCACACAGCAGGTATTCTGTCCTTCTACAGCGTCTCTGAAACCATGACTCTCCTCCACAGAGTCCAGACCACATTCACTCAGCCTCTCTATGCTGGACTCTGGTGTTATAATGTTGGAGACTCAGCTGAGTTCATTAAACTCAAATAGACAGAAGTGAGTTCAGATGCAGTTTGTTAAAATCTTTATTTTAAAGCTGAAACTTCTTAGTTTTCCATGTTTGTTGCTTGGAGCCTAAACTGACATCTGTCCAGATGAAAATGTAAACTTCTCTGTGCTCTAAATGTTGGAGGAATATTTGCATTGATGTGTTTGTGTGTTGTTGTGTCTTTTTTGTCAAACTTTGCTTATGGACCCATAAAGTCTTGGGCCGGCCCTGATGTGGAAATTGGGTAGTGAACAGTGTTCAGCATCCTCACAGCCTGGTGGATGAAGCTGTTTGTAAGTCTGGTGGAGTGGGCCTGGAGACTCCAAAACCTTCTCCCTGAAGGCAAGAGTCTGAAGTGGGAGTGTGTGGGGTGGGAGGTGTCGTCAGCACACCAGGCTCCGCGGGTGAGGCGGGTGTGGGAAATGTCTGTAAGGGAATGTGAAATTACCTGCTCTGTTAATGATGTAAATCATCAACCTCTATGACGTCTTGCCTTGTATTCTTAACTGTGTGGGCACATCCACGTTGGCAAACTAGCAAATAGCCTGTGTGTTTAAAAAAGCAACAACTTATGTAACTTTGTGTAAAGCAGCTCTTCACTGTGTAAACATTTAATCATTGATTCATATCACACTATAATAGAGTTCTACATAAATGTACATATAAAGAAGTTTTTAAGTGTTTATTCATCTCATTTCTTTGTTAATCATTGTAACGTCTCCTATGTGGACATAGTTTCTACTGTTACAGCTGTGTTTTACTACAGTATATTGTCATATACATTTACCATATTTGGAGTATGGCGTTGAAAACTGGGGAAACACTTACAAAAGTTCACTTCAACCATTGTACATATTACAAAAATAAGCGATAAGAATTGTGCATTAGATGGGGTATAGGGATCACACCAATGGAGCTTTCATACAGTCTAAATTGTTAAAATTCTTTGATTTAGTGGAATATAAGACTGCTGTGTTTATGTATAAAGCCAGGAACGACTTATTACCTGGTGGAATTCAAAAACGATTTAATGAAAGGGAAGGGGGATACAATTTAAGGGGTCAATTAAATTTAAAAATTCATGCTATACGTCCAACCAAAAAAAGATTTTGTATTTCCATAAGTGGGGTAAAACTATGGAATAATTTAAGTGTGGACATGAAAAACAGTACTAGAATAAACACTCTGTTTTAAATTTTCTGTATATTACTTGTCTGGTGAAGAAGAGAATTACCTATGTAGAGATACTGCTTGCAGCCAATGATGCATGAAATTTTTTGTATAAGATGATGTTATGGGGTAGGACTGGATAAGTCTGATTTCTTCCTACTCCATTCAAACATGTACTAGGTATAAGCAAACTGATTCTGAATCAGCATTGGTTGGATTTGTATAATTATGTGTGTGTTGATGTCATTTGTTCTGCATGTTTGAAAAAATAAATCAAATCAAATCAAATCAAATTGTCACAACCTGCACTTAATGGGCGTCCACAGGAGGAGTTACAGTGGTTAACAACTACATTAATCAAAACTAATATCTGTATAGTGCTGATAAATGCTGAATAGTAGGACTCAAAGTGTTACCAAATCCGGGTACAAAGCCTCTTTACACTCATTTCTTTTCTTGGGCTTTCTCTTGAATTGATGCTGAGTTTAAATGCGGCTCCTCTTCGTATACTGTCTTCTCTGTCCGATACAGTGCATCTCCCTGTTTTTCTATGTCCTGTAAAACACTTTGTAAATTCTGTTTTGAAAAGTGCTATATAAATAAAGTTTGGTAGCTTTCTTGCTCGTTATAATAATCCTAAATTTATGGATCTCAGACTGTATGAACACAAATGTGGCTAAGGTTTCCTATGTTTGTGATCTGCTGTGATACTCACTGTAATTATGTCTAATATATATATGTATTTATATAAAGAGAGAGAATTCCCTTAAACACTTGGATCTTCCTCCATATTATCTTAGTGGAGGGATCTTCCTCCATGCTCTCGTCTTCTGCTGAGGAGCTTGATTAGCAAACACTCCTCTCTTTGTGAAGGAAACAGGAATACAATCGACAAAAAGCTGCAGCACCACATTACACAAAAGTGCACATCTGGCTCCACCTAGTTTTCAAATCCCAGACTGCACCTGTTATACAGTATGTGTGAGCATACTGTATAACAGTGTCATTATCACTGAAGCATCAGTACAGATAAAAAGGTCAAATTCCTCCATGTTCAAACATGAACCCTGTGACAAACACATCAACACCAGGACACTGACTGTTAACCATAGGGGAAAAGTGTGTTTATTACCCCCACGTTTCTCTATATTCAGTCACTTTTTCATACTTAAGAGGTGTTCGACAGCAAATGACATCACTCACATTCATCTCATAAAACATCCACAGCTTTACAGAAGACAGGAGTGAGTCCGCTCTGCTCGACCCACTGATTGTCAGGAATGTTTGAAACACTGCTGGAGCCTCAGCAGCGAATCCATTTCCAGCTCCTTAGTGCACATGACTTCCAGTTAGAAATGAAGGCACATGATAGCAAACACTGAACACCTGGCAGTCAGAGAAAGAGCTTTCATGTTTGTTTGCTTCCTTGTTCATACAGAAACATTTCTATAAAATTCCAGTAAAAACATCCAGCCCACTGCTGCACATAAAATGATAAAACTATAAGATGCTTCAGATTAAAACTAATGATCATCGAACACTGAGCAGAGCATAAACATGTTCACAAATAACTGTAAACAGAGATTTTTGGTCATTTATACAAAGGGCTTTCAGTGACATCAGGCCCATGAATGGACGCAGACAGCTGAGACAGCGCCGCCACTCCCCGGTGGCCACTCATGGTACTGCAACAACAATGCTCCTGCAGCCCAAGATCTTTTCCCCCATAAACCACAATGATAAGCAGTAAAACTGTAAACAGGACACCTCCAGGTGGAAACTAGGTCAGTTTTTACTCTTTGAATTATCAGTTTAAATCCATGGAGGCCTTATACTTTTAAAACTTTCTCAAAGCCTAGAAAAGTGAGTTTTACTGTTGTGACCTCATCACAATATAAAGTGTCTGAGCTGAACCAGAGGCCAGCAGAGGACATGCTAATGCACACAGCACAAAGGCTATAAAACTTTCTTGGCTCACGCACCAGTGTCTGTGTGCCATCTGTGAGTGTGTTGTCTAGTTGTGATCTTCACTTGTTCTGCCTCAAAATACGAAAGTCGCAACCCAACAGCCTCATCTCAAACACATGTAATAACATCAACCTGAGTCTTTGAGGGTTTCATAAACATTAACAGTACAGCAAAGCATGGTCCAGATTCTCTTGTGCACAAGACTCAGTTTACTGAGATGAGAATCTTACAACAGGGTTTCAGTTCAGGATCGTGGTATTATGTTGTCTTATGTCAGGGAGTTCATAACACCAGCTGTGTGTTTATATGTGTGTCTCAGTCCATTTCATCTTGTAGGAGAGGGTCCTGGTCTTCCGTTAGAGAGGTCCTGTTGCCAGCTGCTTTGGTGCCACCTTCACATTTCTGTAACAGGACCAGAATTTAAAAAAGCCATTATGAAAAGTTCAGGACATCATACAAAAAATCTGACTTTCAAATTAGACCTTTGATTCTTATTGCCATTAAATCTACAGCTGTCCCACCTTTAATACATTTTTACAGTAAAACCTCTATTCTGCATTTCTAAATATGCCATGGCCACTGAACATACTGGAATACAGCACATTGTAATTGTACAACATTCTAAAATCACTGTGCTTCAGTTGTAATAAACTGCAGGAAAACAATAATACATATGAAATTAAAGGACACATCAGGGGATATTCTGCATTTTTCCTGTTATAAATAAATCTCATGAAAAGACCCAAACACTGAATGTCTCCTACTAATAAGTCTTGTGTATGTCTCCACCCTCTGAACCACAGAGCTCCACTGTGTCCGGACGCCATTAAACCCATCGGCAGCTACGCTGTTGTACTGGCTGACATGTTCCATCATCGCCATGAACGCACACACACACACACACACACTGGAGTTGATTCTGACTCAGTCCCCCCCCCCCACACACACACACACACACACACACCGTCCTGATGCCACAGACTCACTAGAGACCAAAAATGGCCCCCAACAAATGCACCAACTAAAGTAAACACTGTATCTGAGAGCTGTTTTTAAAGGTTTACATCTTCGGAAGGACCCAGAGTGAGCGCCACAGAAGGCAAGAAGCACTGAGATGCATTTCATAATGTGGTGTTCTTCATCTCATACTGGAACAGCTGTTTGTGCATTATCACATGCACATGGATGCTCATACACCTGCTATGCAAAATGCATAAACAGATTCCCTTAATTTGCTCCATGTGTTTTCCAAACACTGACAAAAGAGCTGAAAAAAATCAACTGGACTAGATTTCTAGGTCGAAGACGTTTCACCTCTCATCCAAGAGGCTTCATCAGTTCTGACTGACTGGTGTTGAGCCAGAGATATTTATCCCCCTTGGTGGTGTTTCAGTCCTTTGAAGGCCAACAATGTCCCTTAACAACTGAGTTGTTATAGCCCAGTATCGGTGAGAGTCGTTACCCGTCTTTGAATCCTCCCCTGTGGACTGATGCCTATTGTCCTGGTGGGCATGCTTAGGCGTCAGACAATAGACAAGTTTTTTCAGCTTATTATGACCTGGATGACTGACAATCTGCACAGACTGACAAAAGAGCAGCTCTAGAGCAAAAGAACAGCAGCTCAGTGTGCACAGCTGATACCTGACCCTTGTAGCAAACAGGAGTCCATTTTAAAAACTGGTAAATGACACAACCATCATGCAGAGACTACAAAATTAACACACAACATTAAATGTATCACTTTAAGCTGTCAGCAGTTTTGTCTGCGTGCTTATCCAAAATGTTAAAAGAATAGGATCCATTATTTTTCTCAGCCAGAATGTGTTGAATAATACTAAGATTTTATAAAGTACAAATATAAACACTTAAATGATGTCAGTCAATGACAGAATGTAAGACTTTTAAAATCGCCTTTAACTTAAACCAGATTCAGATCCATCATCTGAACCAGCTTATTTCGTCCTGTTAGTTAAAGACAACTTGTTACAGTGGCTTTAGTACGACTCCGTGGATGCGCTTCAACCAGCGAGCAGTCACGTGACAATGCTGACTGACCACAGGCTGTTTTCCAACCTTGAGTGCAGAGACAGCGTCATGTTTGGTTGTATAGCTGCTGCTGCATTTTCAAGATGAAGTATGAAAAACAGCCAGTCCACAAAACTGGGTTTACCACATCTCAAAAAGTAGCAACACCACCACACATATACTGCATTTCAGATACTTTATGTACATTAGGTAAAAAATCCCCAAATGTTCCTGTGCTCACCTCCAAAGCTTAAACATAAATGAACAAAAGCAACAAACACATTAGTACATGCCTTTGTGTGTGCACCCACCTGTATTTTTCATGATATATTTCTCCTGTGAACGTTTAACTGGCTCTTTGCTGAAGGCCTAAAACATGACCAAATTGTCTTACACATCAGCCAATCAGAAACACAAAGACAATCAGCTGCTGGTCTGATTAGAGTTGTTACGTCGGAGAAACCAGCAGCAGCGGGGTTTATTTGGAATCGTGGATGTGCGGGGTGCTCATGCAGAGAGTGATCTCAGGTAATGATCAGTTCCAACATGCAGTTAATTAAAATGACATGCTTTTTTTTTTTTTTAAAGATCAGACAGTTTATTGTGGAGTCACTGGGTTTGTTCGGCTCATCATCGGTCCTTTTCATGGACTGATTATCATGATCTGGGAAGCAGCATTAATACTGAACTCTGTACAACAACCGGTAATGCTGATTGGAGTGTTAAAGGATTAGTTAACGAACTAAAGCACAGATGAGCAGCTCTGAGGAAGCTGCAGCATCAGTCTGTGAAGCAGTTTGTAGCATTAAGCAGCACAGAACTGCTCTCCGTAATAAGAGGGCTCCAAGTCCTGTATAAAATCCCCTGACCAAGTGTGTACCTGATGTTTATCACACCGTCAGACATGCCCTCTCACATACCAACGGTTTACCTGCAGCTGGAGTAAAATACAACTTTGACTGTTCCTTTACCTTCTTAAAGTTTTACAGGGATGAGAAGGGAAACTAGTACAAAGACAAACGCTGACAGATATCCACCTGATCTGTCTGTCCGACTGCTGAAGCCTCCTGCTAACTTCAGATAGAATAAACTGTTACACAGATGTAACTTTGTGTCCTTTAGATTAAAGGTGGTGTCCTGACACAGAGCCTTTGCTCTGCTGAAAGGTGGTGACAGCAGACATCTACCTTGGTTCTGATGATCTACTGAAACTACAAATCAGTATATTATTGTTGGGGTATAATGGGGGATGAGAAAAAAATGCAGCAAAGACTGCATCAAGATAAAGGCGATTATATTACTTCCCTGCAGCCGAGTAGTAAATGTCCCGAGGCCAGCTACCAGTCAGCAGCTTGGAGTAGAGAACCCCTGCATTCAACTGCCACCACATCCACCTGTCATAGCAGGTACAATTTCCAAACACTGAATTTTATGCATTTCCTAAATCAAATGGGAAGCTGGTTGGAAAGAACTGGACTCAAGTAGCAACTCGTTTCCACACTGTAAAACAAAATATCAGCATGAAAAGTAGAAGAATCAGCTTCAAAAATCAAAAACCGTCATTCGGCAGAGTGAATGTTGTTTGATTTGGATGATTGAAACCGAACCGTCTGTGAACGGCAGCAGCTTTACAAACCCCGAGCCTCTCCGCCGCCGGCCTTGTTGGTGCAGCATTTCTACGAGACCTCTGCAAACATAAAACATCAAAAACCACTCTGATATCACGATTCTAAAACCTGACAGCCGCCACTCAAACCTTAAAGAGGCCAAACCTCTTAGCCAACTGTTCCTGC